TATAAGGAGAATAATCCTGGTGAGTAAATTATCAGGAAATTTTAATTTGAGAGTGAACTAATCCTTTAATGATAAGTTAAGGCAGAAAATATGTCCTTTTAAGTGAAGCTCTAATTAGGGCACAACTCTTGATATATGGCATCCCAAGCATGAAAACTCGTGGCGGTTGAGATTATTTTCCTCCTCTTTTTTGTTGATGAAAATACAGAGAAATTTTGTATATATATAGTTTTTTTAAAACCACATATGTGTACAATTAGTGTTTAATGAAGTCAGTGTCATCTTGTCAACATTTTTCGTCATTATCTAAATGAACACCTTCTCTTTCTCGGTCAGCGCCAGATCTCTGTCCACCTGAAGCCCTTCAGAGTCCGACTCGTTGGAGTGGACCGGGCTCTCCTCCGCGTCCATGGCCTCCAGAGACTTATCCTGCAAACAAACAGCGTTCATCTGTGAAATCATCGCGTCTTTATGCACATCAGCGCGTGAATCAGAACACAGAATCATATTACCACATCAAATTTGTCCCAGGCCTGATAATCGTAGGATTTTATGCGCTGCGTCTCCTTTTGCTCCTTCAGGCCGTTAGTCTGGCGCTTCACACTCTTCTTCGTCTTCTTATAATCGTTGTTCCTCACCGGCGGGAGAGTCTTCTGGAATAAAACAGTTTAGCAAACAAACACCTGAATGTAAGGAGCTCAGAATCTCGGAGTTTTACCGGCGGTTCGCTGATGTTTCCGGCGCGAAGCTGCTGGTCTTTCTTCTTGATTTCTTCCTCCCAGTTGTTCAGCTCCTTCATGAAGTTCTGCAGATCTTCTGCGTTCTGTCGCATCTGTGTCTGCAGCTCCACCGCTTTATTTCCCGACATCACTGTGCTCTTCTAGACGGCATCAGACTCCCTGCAGCAAACACGGTTTCAGCAGTTTAAAACAACTACAAACTACTACAATTTAAAAAATCATGCACCGCTCCATAACGTGTAGTGGGGAAAAAAACATCCTAAATATACATTTAACTTAAGTGTTTATTTATTACATTTGATCTATTTGCATCCGTCGATTTTTAAACTACAATACATATATATTTCAAAGTTTTTATCTCCACTTCAGCAGCACTTACGGTTTTATTTTCTGTCTATATTCTGAAGGGTTTCACTGTGAGGGTTGTTCATGTATCATTTACACTGATTTATACAACATTTTATTCCTAAAACGTGATAAAAATGCATATCTTTAAGTTTCTATCTCCATTTCAGCAGCACTTACACTAAAACTTACAGTTTTAGTTTGTTTACATATAATCTTCCTGATTTTATACAACGTTTTATCTGTAAAAACATGGTGAAAATGTATTGGTGTTCTGTCTGTTGACAGTATTTTCTGATAAAAAGAGAAATCCAAAATATGTAGACAAAATCAAACAAGAATTTATATATATATATAAATGCAAATCAGTGCATTTTATAATGAGATATGCCCTTTCAGAAAACTTGTAGTATAAGATGTAATGTCTCAATGTACTGTGATTAATTAACTAGGAATCTATGGTGATATCTATTTTTAAAAAAGTTTTACCATAGTTAGCACCGGGTTACCATAGAAAACTACTGTCATCAAAATAATAATAGTCATTTAATTATTTGTATTTAATATCTATATTACTTTTAAAAAATAATAATAAACACAATGATTACTTATTATGACCATTATCGCTAATTATGATTTTACAGTGGAAACAATGGTAGTAAGCACAGTCCGTTGGCGGAAGCTACGGTTACCATGGTAACTCTTCAAAAGTTAAACTAACAACAGCGCGACCCTGAAAAGGCCCGCTAACTACAGATTAATCAGTGAATCCGCAAAAGAAATACGACTCGAAATGAAATCTCGTCGGTCTGTAATTCTAGAATATTCGCTGTATCTGCGACAGAAACAACATCACGTGATAGCAGGTTTATCACGAGCTGTGTGGAGTTAAATACAGAGCTAAACGACTCGTCTACACACTTGTAATTTACTTGATCTCAAATATTTTAGTAAAAACATGGATTATATTTTAGTAAAAACATGTGCTAGCACACATGTGGGATAATTAACGTAAGATAATAAAGTCATCTTAAACGCATGTTTATAGACACTCGTCGTGTTTAAATTAGCGATTTTAACATCAGTGAAGAGCAGAATCAGAAGTGTGTGTGTCATACCTGTAGCGATGATGAAGAAGAGCTCTGGATCAGTAGTTTGCGTTCAGCGCCATGACAGCACGAACACATCTGCGCGCATGCGTGAACTACGTCACGCACTACGTGCGCACGTAATGGCGCCGAAAAAAGCGAAAAGTCTAGAAATAATTATTTTCTAAACACCATTTTTTTTTTTGGTGTTTATAATGCTCGTCTTTTGTCAAGAATATGAAATATATATATATATATTTGTAAAAAAAACATAGTCTCTTGCTTGTGTCGTTTAGTCGGGGACTTTTATTTTGAAAACAAACCTGCCTTGACGAGATATTATTTTAAGCAAAATTATCTTATTTCTAAAATCAAAACAATATAAAAAATAAGTAGATTCAGTAAAATCGCGACCATTTTAATAACTGAACTACTTTAATCCCTCTGTCACCCTTCGCCTGCTTTCAGTCACGTGACTCACGGACGCCCGCGTGACCTCTGCGTGACCTCTGCGTACACGCGTAGCTCAGAGCTATGGCTCAAAACAGGGCAAAAGGAGATGAGTTTATTAATAAAGAGCCGCTGCAGGAGGCTGGAGAGCAGAAAGCGGCGGCGGAGAGTAAGCAGAAGGAGGAAGACTTCGGCTACAGCTTGTATCCCGAGCGCGGCAGCAGCAAGTTCAAGCAGGGCTCGATCGGAGAGAGTCTCTTCACCTTTAAACACAAGTGTCTCATCATGCTGCAGGTCGCCACGGACACTAGTAAGGGGACAGCAGCAATTTGTTTCCATTATTACAATATTAAAATAAGAGTTTCTAGAGTTTATCTTACAGAAGTATGCAATAATGTTTTTGTAGAGACCTGTACACACACACACACACACACACACACACATGTTTTAGATCATCTCTGCATTACTATGGAAGCTTGTTTTCATCACGAAACACAAGGAAAAGATAAGAGCGATTGCGAATTTTTATCTCACAATTCTGACTTTTTTTAATCTAAAAAAAAAAAGACGTATTTTTTACAATTCCGACTTTTTCTTTTTTTTTCGGAATTCAGGGTTGTTATTCTCTCTCTCTCTCTCTGCCACAACATTTTTAAAAAAGAAAGAAAAAAGTAATTGTGATTTTCTTTAGTTTTATTATTATATATATCTCTCACAATTTTGACTTTTTTTCTTCTGAGTTTACATTTCACACGTTTGTTTTTATTTGTCTCTGCCGCAGAATATGTATACATATGGAATTCTGCGTTCATATCTCACAATTATTATTATTATTATTTATTTTTGATGTGTCTTTCACCAAATAAAAAAAATAAAATAGTAATTGCATTTTTTTTTTTTTTATCTCACAATTCTGACTTTTTCTCAGAATTCGAAGTTTACATCTTGCAATTCTTTTTTTGGCCTCTGCCACTGAATTAAAAATAAAAAAGGTAATTCCAATTATATTATTAGTATGATTATTATTATTTTAATATCACAATGTTATTTTTTTATTTTTTATTTTTTTTTTTTTGGGAATCTCACAATTTTGATTTTGTCTTGCAATTCTGACTTTTTTAATAAGAATTCTGAGTTTACATTTCACACGTTTGTTTTTATTTGTCTCTGCCGCAGAATATGTATACATATGGAATTCTGCGTTCATATCTCACAATTATTATTATTATTATTTATTTTTGATGTGTCTTTCACCAAATAAAAAAAATAAAATAGTAATTGCATTTTTTTTTTTTTATCTCACAATTCTGACTTTTTCTCAGAATTCGAAGTTTACATCTTGCAATTCTTTTTTTGGCCTCTGCCACTGAATTAAAAATAAAAAAGGTAATTCCAATTATATTATTAGTATGATTATTATTATTTTAATATCACAATGTAGACATTTTTTTTCTAAGAATTTTGAGTTTACATCTGGCAATGCTGTGTTTTTTCTACAACAGAAAAAAAAAATAAAGGCATTTGCAACTTTTTATTTCATAATTCTCAGAATTCTAAGAAAAAAGTCACAATTATGAGAAGTTGCAGTTACCTTTATTGTTTGTTTCATGGTCACAGTAAAGTATGCAGTGGCTACAGACAGTTTTAACTCATGAATTGAAGCGGTGTGTGTCTCATTCAGGTCCTTATGCTAAGCTCCTGCTGGGTGCCATGAAGAGCTCCGGCTGGTAAGAGCGACGTTCACATGAACTCTTCCTCCAGCGCTGCGTGTCACTGACGTGCTGTTATTTGATTTCCTCGCAGTGCAGTTTATAAAGACAGACACTTCTCCTGTGAGGACTGCGATGGGACGGTCAGCGGCGGCTTTGATGCTGCCACCTCTCAGGTGAGGCCCAGAAAAACATGATACGATTCACTCATGAATCGCGATTTGTTTAGCATCTCAACCGATTTGAATCGTCACGTATTTGAATCGATTTTCAACCGGCTCGCGGTTAATCGTTACATCCCTAATGATGATGTTCGTCTGAACTGAGTCTGTGTGTGGTTTTTCCCGCTGCAGATCGTCTTATGCCAGAACAACATTCATCAGCAGGCTCATATGAACCGTGTGGTGACCCACGAACTCATCCACGCCTTCGATCACTGCAGGGCCAGAGTCGACTGGTTTAGCAGCTTCAGACACCTGGCCTGTTCAGAGGTGAGCAACACAACACTGCAGTGCATTTCAAAATTACATTTAAAAAATAAATAAATACAATTAAAATAGCACAAAAAATTAAATTAATTATTATAAATTAAATAGCACAAATAATTGATTTTAGAAACAACATCTAAAATATAAAATACTGAAACCAAAATAAATGCTTTTAAATAACCAAAAAAGAATCCAAAATAGAATGTTAAAAAACACATCTAAAAAACAAACTATAATCAACTATAATAGAACATAGAACATTCTAGATTCCACATCTAAAATTAAAAATAATATAATAAATAATATAAATAATAGAATAATATTTTTAGCAAACAAACACCCGAATCTGAAGAAAATTAAAATAAAATTAAAATAATATAATAAATATAAAAAAACCATATAAAATTAAAAAATAGAATCCAAAATAAAATGTTAAAAAACATCTAAAAACATTGTAACTATAATAAAACATTCTAGAATCCACATCTAAAATTAAAAATAATATAATAAAAATTAAAAACCACATCTAAAATTAAAAAGAGCAATTTTAGAAATTGCATCTAAAATTAAAAAATATCATTCAAAATAAAATGCTTCACATCTTAATAAAAAAATATTAATATAAAAATATTAAATATAAAAAAATATATAACCAAAATTCAAATGTTTTAGAAACCACATCTAAAAAAAAGAAAAAATTGTAACCAAAAAAAATGTTTTAGTAACTGCATCTGAAATTAAAGAGGTATAACTAAAATAAAACCTTTTTAAAAACCACATCTAATATTTAAAAATAGTTTAACTAAAATAAAACTATTTAGAGACATTTTAAAAATGTCAACCTGGTGCAAGTAAAATCGTAAACATCGTGTGTGTTTACTACAAAAAAACCACACCAAACTGCAACTTTGGTCCGACATTTTATTTAGGTGTTAAAATAATGTATAGCGTGAGACGTTTCGCAGCACTCTGAAATGTTTGTGCTTGTTTTGTTCCCTTCAGATCCGAGCCGCTAATCTGAGCGGAGACTGTTCGTTCGTTAATGAGATTTCCAGATTTAACTTTGGCCTGAAAGAGCACCATCAGGTTTGTGTATTTGGCTGCGTGTTGTGGATGGTTTCTGGACGTGTGTTCATGTGTGTTTATGTTTTAGGCGTGTGTTCGCGGCCGAGCGCTGCGCTCCATCCTCGCCGTTCGCAAGGTGAGCCGGGAGGAGGCGGAGCTAGTGGTTGACGAGGTGTTTGACAGCTGTTTCCATGACCACGCCCCTTTTGGCCGCATCCCACACAGCAAGAAAGACGCCAAGTTCGCTTACAGGGATTACGAGAACCGAGACCGATACTACGCCAACCTCTGACGCAAGAGAGAAATATAATACACTGTGCTGTTCATTCATGTTCAGGAAGAAGTATAAAACTGCATACTTGCCTTTTTCATCACTAAACGTTTGACAACACCATTCATGTTTTCTTTATCTGAGCATCAGTTTGAAACGGATGAGATTGTTTATTGATGGATTAAAGATCAAATCCGTCTTTGTATATGATTGTACAGGTTTTTATGAGTTATTCTTACGAATATTCAGTGTTCATGGAGCCTCGGGTTTCTGCACAAAACTGAAAACCTTTCCATTTAAATAACAGAGGATTAAATAAATGTTATTTTACACCAGTGTTTTTCCTCAGTTGCGTCGTTGATCCACACGGTGGCGCCGATGCTGTTTGATTATGAACTCAAATTTCCATTGAATTATATAGGAATTAATTCAGCTATTTTTATTTATTTATTTTATATTATGCAAATACATACATTAATAGTGTAAATTTTTTTTTTTCTTTTAAGTTTGCTATTTTTTTAGTGCTGTCAAACGATTAATCGCGATTAATCGCATCCAAAATAAGTTTTTGTTTACATAATATATGTGTGTGTACTGTGTATATTTATTATGTATATATAAATACACACACATACAGTATATATTTAGAAAATATTTACATGTATATATTTATATAATTTATAATATATAGAAATATAAAATTTTTCTTAAATATATACTTGCATGTGTGTGTATTTATATATACATAATAAATATACACAGTACACACACATGTAAACAAAAACTTATTTTGGATGTGATTAATGTTTTGACAGCACTACTATTTTTATATCAATATTGATATTACACACTTTTTAATTCCTTTGTATATTAAATATCTGAATAATTAAGGAATTTATTAAATTATTTTTTAAATTAATTTATTTTATATTATACAAATACATACATTATACAGTTATATGTGTGTGTGTATATATATATATTAATTGTATTCATTTTGTAATTTTTTTGACATTTTTATATCAAAATTGATATTACACATTTTTTAAATTCCTTTATGATTATATATTAAATATTTGAAGAATTAATTAATTTTTTTAATATACCCTTTTTTAAATTTAAAAACAAAATTTGAACATTTTCTTATGTCAGATATTTTTATCAATATATTATTTTAAAAATCCTATATTATATAGTGTTTTAAAGTCAGTTGTGTCGTTGATCCACAAGGTGGCGCTGCTGCTGTTTGTATGCCGTCGAGTCTAATTATTTACCATTTAACATCTGACTGAGGCGTAAATGTAAATTAATCGAGTTCCTATCACCGATCTAGATATAATTCTCTGTTATAGATCAGTGGATCCTATATTTAAAAGGTTCAAATAAAGCGGTTCTTATTACGTTCAGCTTTTTGTGTCTCAAAACAGAAATAAAAAGAAGAGACTGTGGGCAGAACTAACTCACAAACAGTAAAGCCATTGGTTGGCAATGTGATTAATAACAGACACCTGCCAGAGATTAGATTAGCATTAGCATTAGCATAACAAACAAGAAACTGCACGAACACATCAACACACAGAAGTCATCTCTGAATGCGGTAAGTTAAATTTCTTTAAGTTTATGACAACGTTTTGTATTCAAGTAACTTTTGGCAGGTTCTTTTAGTTTTGTTAGTATGTTTTTGCTGCTTGATATTGCGAACTGATGTTTGTGTTTTGTCGCAATCATAAAAACGCGCTGCTTTGTTGCGCAAGTAACTTACACTTACGAAAATTAACTATAAAAAGCCACACAAAAAAACATGGTTATTATTGGTAAACCGTGGTAACCATAAGTTACCAATGGTTGTGCTACATTGAAGTTTAACCAATTAATGTTTTCGAGTAAGTGTAGTGATTTATACAAATGGTTATCAATTCATTAAAAAAAGACACACAAAAAAAAACATGGTTACTCTACACTTTTATTAGAATAAAAACAAAAACATTAAATTTTTTTTTAGACTTTTTTTGTTGTTCTCCTAGTTGTTTATCTATAGCAGCTAATGAGACATCCACAGAAAATGACTTTGGCCTACTTCTGCTAGTAAATTAATGAGGATATATGTAATCATTTTTATGTTCGCACCCCTGTCACCTGAAATTAATTTCAGCATGTCCTCACATTTTCAAAGGTCTTTTATGACAGACGTGAGTACATTTTAAAGTAATTGTCTGTAGATCATAGATGTGTGTGTTATTTGAATTGTGGTGTTTTCACATTAAGCTACAACTCCACAAAAGTGTGGAAATTGACATTTTACAGATCAGTGACCTGTTTTTATTATTATTATTATTAATAGAGACATGATGATTGCACCGCATCATCCTGTACGTCTGTCTGAGACTTGTCTTCTTGCAGGAAGATGTTGTGAGTGAAACATGAGCTGTGTTTGAGTTTCTTCTCTGTCTGGAGGAGATCTCTGCTTCAGCTGCTGGAGGTCAGGAGAAGCAGGGAGCAACCGCTGACCCTCGTTGACCTCTGACCTCTTTCTGGACTCTGTGAAACGCACCGATAGCCTTCGAGCTCTCGGACTCGTCTGATTCTAGCAGCTCGGACCCGTTCTCTGGGGAAATGTGTTGACGGGCCGTTTGTTTAATCAAATGCTTCCATTAGAGAACGATCCGTGCTGTTTGTGTGTATAAAGTGTGTGCACAATAAAAAGATAAATGTGACGTTTGTGTGCTGTTCATGATTTCCAGAGATCATCTGATCGCAGGTCTCCAAACATTTGCTGTTAGTTCTAATCAGTAGTTTAATGTTGTCAAGTAAGGTTTGTGTGCGTCTGACTGTTTGAGATTTCTCTCTGGATGAGCTGTGGCTGATCTGTAGTTTAAAGTTAAAACAGTCCAGTTTATTTGTCCTTAACAGAAGCGCATGTCTTCAAATAAATGACATTTGATCAGTAAAGTTTGTATCTGAACGGCTGTAATGTGATGCAGTTGTGTTGTTAATCGTTGAGCTGTCTGTGATTCCGGCACGGACCAAAGAGTCTGGAGCTGATGTTCATTTCTGTGAGAAACAACTCCTTTATATTCCTCCTCCGTGTGCAGGGGTCAGTCTGTGGAGCCGGACGAGTCCTGGATCAGATCCTGCTGCAGTGTTTAGCAGCTCAGATCTGCTGCTGTGTGGGTGCGCCGGCCAATAATATAAATATTTAAATTAATAAAAGGATTGTCGACTTAGCCTGTGTCTGGAGTATTTTAGAAGTCGAACAAAAAGAGTTTGACTCCTGCTTCATAAGCACTGCTGGATGTTGTCTGGGAAGCCCCAGGGGGAGCGTCTGGATCTTCACTCCCCCTTCATGTCTCTCCTTCTCTCGTCTCTGGAGATGCTCTGATCCGCTTTGCAGCTTGTCACAGATCACGACCGGACGACCGTCACGCAACCGTGTTTCCGAGACCAGACTCCTTCTGTTCAGTGAGGATCACTCAGACCACTGAGCCACTGGCACTTCCACACTTATCACTCTTTTTTTTAATAATTATTTTTTTTTATTTAAAGACTAGTGAAACTAAACTTCTGTCACGCTCAATACAGGTTTCAAACCTGGAATTCTGAGGTCAAGAGCTGATTCTCAGGCCGCTGGACCACAGGCTCTTCCATACTTTCTTTGTTTTATTTTGGATTTTTGTCTTTTTTTTTTTTCATTTAAAGACTAGTGAAACTAAACTCTTTTTCCAGCTCAATGCGGGATTCGAACCTAGAACTCCCAGGTCAAGAGCTGATGCTCAGACCACAGGACCACAGCCTGTTTCCAGGGCCTTCTCTTTTTTTTGTATATATTTCAAAAACTCATTTTAACCACTAGAGCGGGGTTTGAACCCAGACAGCCAGACGTTTAAACCACTGAGCCACTGGTGCTCCAATCTTTGTTTGAGTTTTGTCTGTCTTATGCGTGCAAAAAAAACAACATCATAACAAGAGCGAGGTTTTAACTCAGATGTTCCACATGCAGAAGCGAGACTCAGACCACTGAGCCACTGGTTTTTCTTTGAGCGGCTGTGTTTTTTGTAGGAGTTTGTCACAAACTCAAATTCCCACAATACCTTGCAAACACTGAAAACCGCTCTGCTACTGGCACTAGCATCGGTCAAGCGAGTGGGTGACTTACAAGCACTGTCAATCAGTGCTCCCTGTCTGGAGTTTGGGCCTAGTGACTGTAAAGTCGTCCTCAAGCCTAGACATGTAGGTGCTCTCAACTCCGTTCAGAGCCCAGGTAATTACCCTACTAGTGCTCCCCGCTGCAGATGGTAAGCAGGGTCCCAATGTTCTCTGCCCCGTCAGCAGGGGCCCTATGAAAGAAAGAAAATGAGGTTGGGCCCCCTACTGCACCAAACATACAAGCCAACCTATACTATATAGGTACTGACCTACTACCTTTGCTATTGCTTTTGACCACTAGGTATCAGTATTTAGTCAGAGACCAATCCATAGCCGCGGGAATATATTTTATTTGGGGGTGGGGCTTGATGTTGAAGGGCGGGGCTGCGGTGGGGGATTTTAAACAAAATTCTAATATTAAACAGCCCAAACACTTATAGATGAACATACAAATTAATGAAGACAGTGTTATATAAGAATGTGCTTTTGTGATTTTAGCTCAATAATATTTTTTTCTTTAATATTTGTATTATTTTAAGGGGATTTTACTAAATATTAACCTCTAAATTATGCATCATTTATCTTCTGCAATATCAGGGTGTAACCTCTAGGTGGCTGTATAGCCCTATATATAAATACATGTAACCCTTTGCAGCAGAGTGAGAACTTAAGACATAAAGCATGTTACTTGTATCAGGTTATTCGTTTATATATTTTCAGACATTATTAAAGACTACATTTAGTTAAAGTTGAAATTTAAATGTTGATTTGAAGTGTCGGTTATTATTAAATCTGGACAGAGAAAGCATTTTGTTAGGCTACTCATACTAGCTACAGCGTGATCAGTCACACAAAAGTCATCAGAATAAATATTGGCTCAGTGTGACCAGGGCAATATTTTAAAACATAGAATTGAGTGTTTACATACCATGAACAGAGACGTTCTGTGGTCGAGATGTGTATCCTATTTGAAAAAATCTGCATCGCACTGAGATTCCAGTAGCTTTACTGGCATGATAAAAAGGCTATACCAAGCATTGACAGCGCTTCGAACCATGGTGTTGAGCATTATCAAATTTAGAGGCTACAATTCATAGTTTTCAGTCACGTGACTGGCTCACTTTTAGTGACTAGGCTAGCTGCGTAGGACGGGACGGAACCATGCAGTGAATGGGGGGTAATTTTGCCGGAAATGCAGAAAAAAGCCGTAATTTTGTTTTATTTGTAACTCTTTGATAGATACATTTATAATTTATATTTCATTACTACTAGTACTGTTGCTGTTAAAGGGATAGTTCACCCAGAAATGAAAATGTGATGTTTATCTGCTTACCCCCAGGGCATCCAAGATGTAGGTGACTTTGTTTCTTCAGTAGAACACAAATTATGATTTTTAACTTTAACTGTCCTCACAGTTAAAGACTGCAGTCTATCAGTCGTATAATGCATGGCAATGGTAACAAAATCTATGAGAGTAAAAAAAACATGCACAGACAAATCCAAATTAAACCCTGCGGCTCGTGACGACACATTGATGTCCTAAGACACGAAACGATCGGTTTGTGCCAGAAACCGAACAGTATTTATATCATTTTTTACCTCTAATACACCACTATGTCCAACTGCTTTGAGCGTGCGCACGGCATCCGGTGCGTGAGGTGTGTACGCGCTCTGGCGTAGTTTACGCAAGCGCCGGAAGTGATCTCTCGCGCGTATATGTCACTCATTGTTTACACAGTGCACAGTCATTGTAAGTACGACTGCTAATCAAAATGGTACTTACTTGCGCTTATCTGGATTGTTCAAACCGACTTAAAACTAAAAGATTACGTTCTCTCGCGCTTACTCATTCGGGAGTGGTGACTTTCCATGTATTCCCAACTTCTGAGCCTGCTCGTCTGAAGTTATGGTTGATTGCTCTTCGGCTGGATATCAACACACCCTTTAACGTAAACTACGCCAGAGCGCGTACACACCTCACGCACCGGATGCCGTGCGCGCGCCCAAAGACAGTTGGACATAGTGGTGTATTAGAGGTAAAAAATAATATAAATACTGTTCGGTTTCTTGCACAAACCGATCGTTTCGTGTCTTAGGACATCAATGTGTCGTCACGAGCCGCAGGGTTTAATTTGGATTACATTTTTATTTATGTATAACTGTGTATATATATATACGTTTATTTTAATGTATAATAACTATATTGTATATTATTTACTTATGCATATAAATATTTTTATTTATGTATAATATAAATAAAATTGTGTGTGTGTGTGTGTATATATAGTTTATTATTTCAAATAATAGTTTATTTATACAATAAATAATAGTTTATTGTTTCAAAATGCTATTTAAAAATGTGTTAAAAAATACACTTCTATTGTGAACACAGTTCAAGTTGTTTTTAATCCACGAGGTGGCGCTAAAGGAACATTTTGTTCTCTCATTAAAGCCTCTTTGTTCTTCACTCTCCAGCAAGAGCGTGTCATATTTATCGTCATGTTCATAAACCTGTGACTGTGGTCTCGATGCAGTGTTAGAGTCTTATTCTCACTCACCAGCAGTTTTCACTCCACTCTAGTGAACATCAGGGATCAAAAGTGTGTTTTGTTCCACTGTGTTGTGCGCTTCCAGGCAGAGCGCTGTGATTGGCTGCTGGTGGCGCGGGGGGCGGAGCCTCGGATTGGTCGGGGCGGGTCATCACAGAGCGTCAGCAGGCGTCTGGTGGCGCAGAGCTTGTTTATTTTGGGCAGAAGAAGCTTCTGACTGCCAGACATTCACAGCAAGAACTACACACACACAGAAATCCTGTTGAATTTTTTGGCTGACTTTGGGGAACGTCTCAGCTGAAGATGATGGTGTTTGTCTCCACATGAGTGCTGATTAAGAATCATTTTCTCTGGCCTGTCGCTTGAATGTTTCTACGGTTCCTCTGTCTCCTCAAACCAGCCCCACAAACCACTTCTGATGGAAAATGCAGATGTTTGCGAGATTCCTCCGTGCGCACGTGGAGATGGTTTGTGAACGAGGAGAGGATTTAAAGAGAGACAGACTGAAGAAGACGCCTGATGAGATCTGATGCGGAATGCAAATCAAAACACATTTCCCTCACAAGACTGAAATGACCCACATTTACCAGCATCACTGAGTTAGTTAGTTGTTTCTAGCAGGTTGACATGCCCAGCTAACAGGGAACGTTCTGGCAAGGTTCTCTTAAAGTTACGAACAAACGTTCTTCTAGCAACGTTAATAGAACACTCATTCAAAGTTTTCTGCTCTTTAATTATGTTATCACAAAAACATATTAATGTTTTAGTTGGATGTTTGTCTGACGTTTTTTAAATGTTACTAATTGTTTCAGAGAACATTCATAAATAACATTTCCATAATGTTTGCATGTTCCCTTAATGTTCATAAAACCAAGAAAAAATTAAAACATAAAAAAAAACATTCAGAAACAACATTCTTATAACTTTAATTAAACATTTATTATCTGGGAATTATCTGGCCTTTAATAATGTTCTCAAAATGTTAACACAAAATCATTATTTATTCATGGTTCATGGACCGTTTTTTTTTTTTTCTGGGAAAGTTGTAGTTGGACGTTCATCGAATGTTTTTTAAATGTTGCTACTTGTTTTAGAACGTTCCGAGAACATTCAAATGTAACATTCCCACAATGGTTTCAAAATGGAATGTTCCTTTAACATTCACATAACCAAGAAAAAAATGTTTCTAAAATATTATTTAAAACTGTATGTTCAGAGAGTTGGCTACAGTCAACTGTTTGATTCCTAACATTCTTCAAAATATCTTCTTTTGTGTTCAGTAGAAGAATTGAACTCGTACAGGTTTGGAATGACATGAAGGTGAGAAACTGACTGAATTGTCATTTTTGGGTGAAGGGTCCCTTTAATGCAAT